CGCTCACATCCTTTTAATTATGTTTGAAATTATGAACATTGCTCAACATCATGAAAATTAAACCTTATTTTCAATAAGCAATCCTGAAAAATATTTGGGGGTGCTTACCTTTTTTCCAGGTGTATATATAATGTCACATGAAATTTGTATGTTAATGATACTGTGCTTAAAGAAAAACATATCTGTTAATTATTTTTATTATTTGGTATAGTATTTTTTGTAAACATACCTGTTAATTATTTTTATTTTTTGGTATAGTATTTTTTTGTAAACATATCTGTTAATTATTTTTATCATTTGTTGTAGTATTCTTTTGTAAACTTACCTGTTAATTATTTTTATTATTTGGTATAGTATCTTTGTAAACATACCTGTTAATTATTTTTATTTTTTTGGTATAGTATTTTTTTGTAAACATATCTGTTAATTATTTTTATTTTTTGGTATAGTATTTTTTGTAAACATATCTGTTAATTATTTTTATCATTTGGTGTAGTATTCTTTTGTAAACTTACCTGTTAATTATTTTTATTATTTGGTATATTATCTTTGTAAACATACCTGTTAATTATTTTTATCATTTGGTATAGTATTCTTTTGTAAACATAACTGTTAATTAATCTTATTATTTCGTATAGTATTTTTGGTAAATACATCTGTTAATTATTTTCGTATCTTGAAAACTAATAGACCGATTGGTTGTTTGTAATTAAGCACAAAGCTACAAAATGGGCTATCTGTGCTCTGCCCACCACGGGTATCAAAACCCGGATTCTAGCGTTGTAAGTCCACAGACATACTGCTGTGCCACTGGGGGGGGGGCTAATAGACCGATGTACACAAAAATTTTACACAAGATAGGAAGTCAGTGTGAGACAGTCCTCCCCAACTTTGGTGCGGATTCTGGATCACTTTGAAGCATTTTTTTTATAAGGAGGGGATATGTCATTTTTTCTAAATTTGGGTTACCAACTCTGTGAAGTTGGATCGGATTTGTACCAAATTTCATGAGCACATTAAGGTCGAGACTCTTCATCACACTACAAAACATGATCCGGATCGTTGATCACTCTGGATCTGAGAATGAAATTCCTAGTTTTCGAAGGTGAAATTTGACGTGATCCAATGTAAACGCATGAAATCTCGAAAAGGAGCGGCAGTGTGATGGTAAAGCAATCTCTCTGATTGCTCTCGTGAAAAGTCTTAATTTATTTTAGGGCAAGTCTACGTAACAGGCTATCTCCCCTGTGTCCACCGCGGGGATCGAACCTTTCAATTTAGCCTTATACACGCTGAAATGTTTACTGTTGAGCCACTAAAGGTGGGCTAAATGTTTGAGCGTCATAACCTAAAGACATTTTTTGCTGTATCTAATTATAACGAGAAGTTATAAATTCAATACTTGATAAAGAATAAGTAAAGTTTTCCTTTCGCCGTGACACCCTTCTTTAAGAATTGTATACTGGTGTGATATTAAAATATACAGCCAATACCAATTAAAAAACACATGATATAACTTCTAATGAGACATCACACTAGAACTTATATAGAAACAAAGGTATTTTCAGATGGTGGTCCTTTCTTCATAAAAACATTAGATCATGTTCAGAACATACTATAATCACCAGGAATTTTTCAGTGCAAATAACTATGGTTTGATGCCAATTAATAGAAGGGTGTTCTTATTAATATCCAGTGCCAATGCTAAGACTGTATAATATCCAACATTAATGCTATTATTCATTTTTGATATCCACGAACGGCTATTCCATTTTGTCCACAAGTAAATATTTGTGTATGTGTGTGTGTGGCAAGGGGAGGGGGCATTGCATCACTATAAGGCTGATAATCTGCTGTATAAAGACGAAAAGCCGCCCGTCTCTTACGCCGATGTCTCGGTCGTTGTGGTACTGATCGACACGCAACTTACACGAAACGGCGACATATTTTGCCACGACGAGTAAGTATGTCTTTTTACAATTCTTCCAGCCTTATATATATATATATATATATATATAACGCGCTACTTTGGGCATATAATTAGATTTGTAGAGTAATAGAACTGAATCGGGTATACGTGCGTCCCACGCTTGGTATTGTTGGCGTACAAAAATCGTAATAATTGGCTGAAATTCCCCATTACGTTTGCTTGATTGTTAAGGGGACACATTGACTCAAGATCACCAAATTTCGTCCAATTGAAACTCTCAGCTACAACTCTTATAATAACCCGTATCTTCTACCAGCAGCATATTCCAATTTTGAAAATGACGAAATTAAAGCGCGCTTTTTTTGGTCAGCAGGCTAACAAAGCCCAAACCAGATAGTCCAAAGAGAAAACCTCGAAACTCATAATAAAATTCACTGCATTTACCATCACAATTAATAATTTGCAGGGTCATACAGTTTTCAAGTAGGTATATGTCTTTGAAAACAGTTTTTTTTTCCGTATTTTTCAGTCTATAAGGATTTATGAAGATGAACATTTGAACATAACTTAAATATATACTGAAGTTAAAATGCTAATCAAGCAATACTTTATACCAAATATACATAAAAAATGTTGTTTTCGTGAAATACTAGAAATAGGATAGTCATTCTCCATACATATATGGTTACTAGATTATAATTAATTTTTTAAAACATGTTCATAAAACATTTATTTAGATATAATTTTGAGAAGAAAAATTAATCATCATTTCCAGTCATATGATAGGCATTCTGACATTCTTTATTAGTCTAATACGGGGTTTCGATAAGAAGTGTGTACAATAGTGCTTTGCTAGAAATGCTATTTAGAGTTGTTTATGATACTGTAATTCTCTGGCATAAAACTACTATTTAGTAGTAACGTATTTACGATACTACAACTCAACACAGGCACGTTGGAACGTACAAACATTGGGAGGAGAGGGGTGGAAGGCAGTCGAAAATGAATAAAAATTATTTGACAATAAAACAAAACGCTTTAAAACATTATTTAACAGTTTCGCACAGTTTTAGTCGTAGGAGCCGTATAATGCGACAGTTAATCTCACTATTCGTTGGTACAGAGTAGTCCAAGAGTTGACGGTGGGTGCTGTTGACTAGCTGACTTCTCTCTAGTCTATCGCTTCTAAATTAGGGACGAATAGCATAGATAGCCCTCGAGTAACTTTACGCGAGAATCAACAAACAAACAAGTAAATTTTTGAACGATTACTCTGTGGACACATGGACTTGGAGTAATTCGATCTATACATTGGGGTTACTCATTCCAATAATTTACTTGTTTTCACAATTTTTCCTTTTTGAAAACATTATATAAAATAATCGGGCAATGATGTTTCTAGCAACAGGAAGTGACTGATTCTTAGGTAATTAATTTTAGATTTTGAAATATGTTTAATTACATTCTTTGTATAAAGTCTTAAAAGTTGTAATTTATGTTTATATATTCTACATTTTGTAAAAGTTTGTTCTCTCCGAGGCTGTACTTGAAAAGAAACATGCAGATCTTAAAAATTCCATTAAGTTGATGAAAAAATAAAGACTTATCTCATCAGTTGTTTTTTGGATACGCAGTTTTTTTAGTAGCATTTCCATCTATTTCTTTATTTATCTTGTATAATTGTTCTTGTTCTGAATTATTTAACAAAAGACAAGTTTAAAGGTATATAATTCTACTTTTTGCATTAAAAGTGCAATAATCAAAAACATATTGGCGCTTTTTTCTCTTTTAAGCTATTTTAATGCTTTTAAAAATCCCTGAATTTCATTCATGCTTGTCTTATTTTTTCATCAGCGCTGACGGTAACTACGAAGTTAGGTACAAGTCCAACGTGCTCATTTACTCAACAGGCATTGTGATGTGGGTGCCGCCAGCCATTTACCAAAGCTCCTGTACTATTGACGTCACCTACTTTCCTTTTGATCAACAGAAATGTGTCATGAAGTTTGGGTCGTGGACTTTCAACGGCGATCAAGTGTCCTTAAAATTGTATGATGACAATAACTGGGTTGATCTATCCGATTACTGGAAGAGTGGAACCTGGGACATTGTGGAGGTTCCAGCCTTTCTCAACGTATACAATAATTCTAAGGAAGGAAAGCCAACGGAAACTGATATTTCCTTCTACATCACAATTAGGCGGAAAACACTGTTCTATACAGTCAACCTCATTTTACCAACTGTTCTAATTTCGTTTCTTTGTATCCTTGTTTTTTATCTTCCGGCCGAAGCAGGAGAAAAGGTTACTCTAGGGATTTCCATTCTCTTATCTCTTGTAGTGTTCTTATTGTTGGTGTCAAAGATCCTGCCTCCAACGTCTCTGGTTCTTCCGCTTATTGCAAAGTACCTACTCTTCACATTCCTCATGAATACGGGGTCAATCCTGGTTACAGTAATTATTATTAACTGGAACTTTCGCGGGCCAAGGACCCATAGAATGCCTAATTGGATTCGCATAGCATTCTTAAAATACTTTCCAATCCTCTTGTTCATGAAAAGGCCCAGGAAGACGAGGCTGGAATGGATGATGGAGATGCCAGGATATGGTATTCATCAACACTACCATGGGTCGCCCAAGACCAAGCCCTATAACTTTAAAAACAAAACAGATTTTGTGGAACTTTCTGACATCCATCATCCTAACTGCACCGTAACTAGAAAGCCTTCTTTAGAGATGGAGATTCAGCGAAGGGACAGCGAATCAACAGATACACTGTTTCTAACTCCAGAAGCTTATCGGGCCACAGAAGCCATTGAGTTTATTGCAGAACATTTACGAAGCGAAGATGAATACATTCAGGTGGGCTAATACTGTTCTTCTTAATTCACTTACAATTTTAAAACTTATTTATAACCACACACACACACACACACACACGTGAATCTATAACATTCTTTATTTACTAAAGTTACCTTACACCTATCTACTTTTTTTCACAAATGAATACTTGATTAACAAATTAAAATGCGTGGGATATTTGTATCTAAAATAGATTTTATAACAAGTGATTATTCCCACACACAAGGAAAATGCAACAACAAAATAAAGATTTTACTCTTCTTTTATTAAAGCTGATATGTACTTTGTTAGTAGACGCTTCTAATATTGTTTTCTTCCTTATATGTTGCCCGGCATGGCCAGGTGGTTAGGACGCTCGACTCGCAATCTGCGGGTCGCGGGTTCGCATCCCCCTCCCACCAAACATGCTCGCCCTTTCAGCCGTGGGGGCGTTATAATGTGACGGTCAATTCCACTATTCGTTTGTAAAAAGAGTAGCCCAAGAGTTGATGGAGGGTGGTGATGGCTAGTTGCCTTCCCTCTAGTCTTACACTGCTAAATTAGGGACGGCTAGCGCAGATAGCCCTCGTGTAGCTTTGCGCAAAATTCAAAACAAACAAACAAACCTTATATGTTATGAAAAATGCACTATTTAAAAGCTTTGACTTAAGGTTTTTAAAGAATCGTTTTATTATGTATTTAATTACTTGGATGTTTTATGTTTCAAATAGAAGGGAATATGTATTTTTGAATGTAGTTTTTAATGCTGATTTCATAAATATAAATTAAAATTTTGAGAAAGGAAAAGAAATATTTTTTTATATTTTGCTTACGAGACAAAAGAATTACTTTTAGCATTACTTATATGTATTTAAAAGTATTGCAAAACATCAAGATAATACAAAGTATCTAGTGACAACGTAACAAATTCATTTTCGTCATTTTCATGCCTACGACGCCAAACGAACTCGCAGAGATACGAGTCAATCATGTTACGATTGGTTCCACAATGTCGTTTGTTACGTCTCTTAACCACATTCCAAGTTCGTTCAATTTGCTGCAGATTTCAGAAATAAAAGTTAAAATTTGGTGAATTGATTTTTAAAGTGGAAGCAATGGGAAAATATTTTCATTTTTTAAGATTTTTTTAATGAAATATATTTGTTATTTGTTTGTTTGTTTCAAATTAACCACAAAGCAACACAATGGTCTATCTGTGCTCTGCCCACCACGAGTATCGAAACCAGGATTCTAGCGTTGTAAGTCCGCAGACATACTATATTTTTTAGTTAAATAAACATGTAATTATTTACAAATTAGTTTGTTTGTTTGTTTTTGAATTTCGCGCAAAGCTGCACGAGGGCTATCTGCGCTAGCCGTCCCTAATTTAGCAGTGTAAGACTAGAGGGAAGGCAACTAGTCATCACCACCCACCGCCAACTCTTGGACTACTCTTTTACCAACGAATAGTGGGATTGACCGTCACATTATAATGCCCCCACGGCTGAAAGGGCGAGCATGTTTGGTGTGACGGGGATTCGAACCCGCGACCCTCAGATTGCGAGTCGAGTGCCCTAACCACCTGGCCATACGGGGCCATTTACAGATTAGTCTAACTTGATCTAACCTCACGTAAACTGACCTAACCTAGCAAAATAAAATATATATATAAAAATATTTATTTTTATTTCTCCAAATTGTAATTTATACTTCTGAAATCAGCATTAAAAACTACATTCAAAAATATATATTATTTTCTATTTGAAAGTGGTGCATGTAACAGAAAAGATCCAATTACTTACAGCATTTCATTAAACAATGTAAGTGAAATACATTTAGAAAGTATTAAGCAAAGACTTATAAGGGATAAAATGTTTCATAACAATACTTAATATACGAGTCAGTAGTAAAAAAATTTGGTCTAAAATTTTGAAATTAGCTATGGAATTTTATAACCACGCACTTACTCATCCTTGGTGATGCTTTTCACTAATTAGTGGGTTGCTAAAGGGTTGTACTTGCTAATCGCCTGGATAATGTAGCAGTGAACAAGCCAGTAATACTCAGTGATATTCGAAAATATACCATGTCTATCTTTTCGTTTAGCTTTAAAAGGTGAACAACGGTAAATCACGTAAGGTTTCAAAAAATTCAGAATTTTTCTGCAGAAGGTGTTGCTAGAGAACTGTTTCAGTCTAATACTATGTTTGCACCCGGTATCAGTCATATATAAGTTTCCTCTCTATTTTTGCTCATGGTATGACTCGTGACTGTAGGTGTGGTAAGCACTGCACTATTGGAGAGTTGATCGTATTGGTTCAAGTATATATACATGCAGTAGCAAGTTCTTCCCGTTTAAAGCAGATTTTCTTCTGACTTCCTTAAGAATCTTCAAAACCTTTCAAGACTTCTAGACTAGTGTCATTCATTGTCCTGTGAATATAAATAAAGAGATATCGATTTTTCAGTTTACCTTACAGTGTGTTAAGCATTTCTTCTTCAATTCAGTAAGTTTACAAAATCAGTTTATTTCCGTGATACATTTCTTGCTACTCATCTAATTTGCAGTTACTATTCTTATTTGAATGTTACCAGTGTGCCTGAGAATACCACAGTGTAAGTTAGTATAGGTAGAATTGTGGTGCCAGGGCATCAGAACTTGTTTTTTGCTGCTTCTTGTGTAATTTTACAGATCATAAGTTTTACTTCAATAGAACCTGTAAATGTCATTTTTCAGACCATGAAATTATGGGCAAGAGAAGGAATTTGAAGTTTAGGATAGACTGTGATATGAGAGTAACAGTGTCTAAGAGAAGTCCTCTTCTGGATGCTTGCTTTATCTTGCTGCTTCAAGGGATCATGCCTACTATCTCCACAGCTGCGAAATCAGGAAGGAAAACTGCAGCCTAGTACTTCCAGAGCTGCTGGCCAACTTATAGCCTGAGTATATACCTTTACTCACAGAAGGCATGGTAACTTGAGGGCTGATAGTCCTGAGACCAAATAGGAAGGTCTTTATGGGACAACAAGACTGTTTCTGTTAAAGACAGCCAAATCTTATTCTCCCTGTTCATTGTCACCCATGGCCAACCAAAAAAGCTGGAAGAGGCAAAGGTGGGTGAAGTCTGCCAATTGGAGCTGTCTTACTGGAAAGAGAAACAACAGAAATTGATAGTTTGATGAGGAACATGTGGAGCAGACAACAGGCTCTTTGGAATAATAGGTATGATTCTGGAACTATTATTGACCATGGATAACAACTGGAACCACAGACATATTTTTGTATGAAGTTTGTCAGGAACATGGATTGAACATTCCTTTGAATTTAGAGCGACCTCAGCACAAACAAAATATTTTGTCCTTGATATCATAACTGTTTCAGATACAACCAGAGATATCTTGTTTCTTAGTTACAGATATTTATTGTTGAGGCAAGGTGAAGCAGACATCTCTTCCAAAACTAAAGAAACTGGACTAATTACTTAAACACTTCAAATAAATCATTGTTTGATGTGGCTGGACTCAGAGACAAGTGGTGAATGAGGAGCAGCTCCGTGACTAGATTACAGCCATATCTGATTTATAACAACGCTACCATTTAGTGGAGAACTAAGCTATCCACTAGGCTGAGTTCAAGGCTCAAAAGAGAGGTCCCTTGGAAAACTTTGGAACTTATGCAGATGATTTGCATCAGTTACATGGGAAGGAATATTCCGCCATGGTGGCTTCCAATCATGAGGAAGTTCTCATGAATAAGTTCATGGAATGATTGCCAAGTAAAGCAGTGAAACAACACTTAGGTATCAGACATCTACATTCTAGCAAGGGCAGTATTAGTGGCGACGAGGTTTGAAGTGACAGCATCAAAGAAAAAAGGTCACAGAAGAAGAAGCATATAGAAACAGCTGTCACGACTGTACCCTGGCTAGATTTCCCTCCAGAGATGCCTGGATCGTTAAAAGCATATGTTACCCAAAACAATATCCACTTGCAAGGGACTTCAATACAGCTACACCAAATAACAGTGAGTGGGCAAGGCTTCCCATGATGTATTGTTTTGGTTGTAGGCTGGTAGGCCATATCTTGTCTTAGAATAAGACTTGTGAAACATGAAGTTTTGCACAGTTTTTCAGCAGATGCTGGAAAGTTGAAGACCAGCTATGGATACTGTTGCTCCATCTCCAGAAAACTGAAGAACTCAGGTGGTAGGGTAAAGAGTTAGCTTGTGTTCAAAGGTTATTGGTCAATCTAGCTCTGACCAATTTATCTAGACTTCATTCTGACAAACGACAATTGACTAAATACCAGTGGAGAAGCATGTCTCATGACTAAATCCTGGTGCTTTCACCCACAGTGTGAATGTGGTTATCTCCAATTTTGGCTTAGATGTTGGGGTCTTGGGGATGGACCTAAGAGTAATTGCCAGACAATTTTGAATCAAACATATTGAATGAAACACCAGATTGGTCCCAAGAATAATGGACTACATAAATGCACTTGGAGGAGTGATTCACATTGTCTGAATGCACAAGTGGTATTTCATGATGTATTACAGACTTGGTTTAGAACATTTGCGACATCTATTGCGGTAATGGAACAGATGCAAAAACACTGTCTCTTTTTCAGCTGGCTTCACTTGTTTGAACTGTCATCTATCTGAGCAGTACCATAGTTCTGGTGCTGATATGTAATTACAGACATTCAGCTGAAATGGTCATTTGCCTAATAATTGGGTGGATGTAGCTGAGACTAGCTGTACTGATAAAGTTGATTCTGTTGTACCACTATGAGAGTAAATGCACTGTTGTAAGAATATCTGAGATTATTGGTTGACAAATAAGCAAGCAATTTGGATTCGACACAATTGAGAACATAAATATACAAAATTGGAAATACTCAGTCATATTATATGAAATAAAAAAGCCTTAACGGACTTGGAGTGGTCAATGATTGTTCCCAACTTATGACTAAATGATAGATCCATAGTTTCCCAGGCTCTTGTAATAATACAAATGATTTAT